TTTTGCAGTCTTTTTAGTAGGCCTGGTGTTTACAGTGCTGGCTGGCACACTGCTAGAAGCCTAGTTCACCCTACAGTCTAATTTACTATACACTTCATTTTCCCATGTTAGTCTGTTGTACTTCCTTGTATAATAATATCCTAAATAACTCAATGAATTATGTACACTTTCTAAATTGACTGCATACATTTACAAATTGAAGGAGCCCTGGTACAGCTCTTGCTCTACTTTTTGTTGTGCTCACATCTGTTAGGGGTGAACATACTCTAAAATTTTGGCCTGTTTATGAGATGCCCAACATTTTAAAACAGTGGCTGAGGTTACCTGCCCAGAGACAGGAAGCACAGCAGAAGGGACAATCTTTTCAGATATCCTCACAATGTCAGAACACGTATTTCTGTCCAGCTGCACACTTGCCATCAATCTCGATTTCTACAGCCATTTGAAATACATGGGAGTGACTTTCTCAGGCAGTTTACTCCTTTCTCATTGCAAGGTGATTCCAGACCCTTAGAAAGTTCCCAGTTTTCAGATTTAGAGCATGAACTGTGAGAGTAGTGGTAGCAGAGGAACTTATTGTTTAGGGTGAGATGGGGGTTGATTGGTTTAGAAAACCCAATCCACCCCAGCAAAGATTACACCTACCTTTTACCAGGTGAAGTTCTCATTGGTAAAGGTACAATTTGTTGCAACAATGTGGGCAAAATATCCAACAATACAGAGATCAAAAACAATGGGAAAATAGCATAGCCTTTTAAGACATATCTTAGGTAGGATTTTAGGGAAAATAAATCTTAAATAACAATCCAAAACTGCTGAAATTGTTTTGGTTTTGAATCTTTTAAAGAGTACTCTGTTTTGGCAGAGAGGACAAAGCAGGAATTAATTTTTATTCCTTACTAAACACAGGGACATCTAAAACGTTTCACAATTGTAATGTAGGTCAGTAGCAGAATGCATCTTCTCAGGAGGAGGCAAAGCTGGTCTTTATTATTAGGAAGTCAGTAGTTTTATGGTCTCCTTCTGCCTGGGGCCTGTCTCCAGGTTTTCAAAAACTTTGTTACCACTTTATATATTTATAGCTCAGAAGCCTAAGGACAATTTTATGAAGCAACTTATTTTTAAATAAAATCCTGGTTTATTATAATTCAAATTCCTCAAGCATGTTTAAGAGATTTTAGTTGGAGGGTGGGGTTTTTATGAAAGACAGGTCTGCAACATTCTAAACCACTGCAACACAATATAAAGCAACAATTCTCTTCCATCATGCCTCTGCTGCTTTGCTTCAGGAAAGAAAGGCACAATATTTCCAGGAAAATTATTAATGGAAGTATGATATCAAGACTTTCTGCTTTTAGTAAGTTAATTTTACATATAGCGTAACTCCTTTAGCTCATCTCCAGATTTGACATGAAAAATCTAAACTCTTCATAATTTAAATGTGACACTTCTGTCACCACAATGCAATCCATAATTCTTAAGCAAGGTCAAGAACTGCCATAGCTTTTAAGGTGAAAGCCTGAAAGATTACACTAGCAGTTAATTAAATTAAGATGCTAAGATACATTTACCTTTTCAAAGCTAGATTTATTCATAAGTTATTAAACATAAACTCCAATCACGCCAAATAGATCATAGATGAAAAGCAGTTCCAGTGAGGAAAATAGAAGAACTTGATTTTTCAAACATTTTAAATTAATGTGCTAGCCGCCGTTTTTGTGGCAAAAGAAACTCTCTCCTGTAAGTGATAAGGGGTTTTATTCAGCTAAAACACACAAAGAAGAAAAGTCTCAGCATGAGAGGAGAAATACCACCAGTTCATATTGGACACAAGGGAATAAAATCCTTCGGACTGAATTCCTTTAATCCATTTTCTTGTCACAAACTTTTGTGTACCTCTTTGTGGCAATTCCAATTGCAACACCATTGCTTTCAAACTGCAAATAAAAGACAGCATGATAAATGGGATGTTAAAAAAGGACTTCACACCCAGAACAGTAACAGCTGGTGATGAAAATGACTTTTAGAAGCAGGGCCAGTGATCTATGAAATCTGCAGCAAAAACCAAAGTGTTGGTGTCCCTTTAGCTTTACAAATAGTTATTACTTCAGGAGGGGAACAAGGGCAGAGTCAAGATATATAAATCTCTGCATTTTGATAGAAGAGATAAATAATAAATGCACGATTTAGATGCACTAAACATTTTCCTCCATTACAAGAGGCAGAAGTGGCTAAAGAGTGTATTTTGGGTTTTTTTTAATTCTGCTTTATGTATCTGGTGTAATGTACCAATTATTAAACTTTTTTCTTCTCTTTTTTATTCTCTGAAAGAATGGCCAGTCATTAAAAAAAATTAACTAAGCTGTTTCAGAAAACAGGTGCAATTCCTATCTTTCCAAGACCTACCAGAAGCAGTCTTGAAGTAAATATTTCTAGTTGGCTCAGTACCAGCAATTCCCTTTCATAATAGCCACAAAAATGTCTAAAAACATGCAATGATTTACTCTTTTGCTGTGCTCCCACTTAACTATGGCTGGGTACTTTATCTGTAGTTTCCCTGGTTAGCTAAATGCATTAATCTTACTTTATAAATTCCAGATTCATCTTCCTGATCTCTTTTCATGGCTGAAGGTGCCTGTGGATTTCCATTGCTGCCTCCTTGACCTTGTTTTGTGGCTATTGTTTCTTGCACAGCTTTCTTGGGCCACACATGCTTAATTAAAGGTGCGATAATGGGATAGATATAGGGTTCCAGGAATTTCTTGTAGAGCCAGAGGAGGACCGGAATGACAATGCAAGGAATGCACACCATAGCTTCCTCTTGTTCTGTGACAAAGCTGGTGAGGAAAAAAACCAAAATAACTTAGGATGACTGTTTGTATGCCATGAGCTAAAAAAAGTGTCTTTAAATAATGAAGAAAGATTTTAGTTGATATTCAAACATAAAAGATTCTTAAATTATAGACTAGCTGTTAATGTTTCAAAAATGCTGTGTGTTTCAATTTTATAAAGTTCTCAACAAGGAAAACATTCTTGATATTTTAACAAAAAAAGCTTGCTATTAATTCATCAGTTCTACAGCTGCAACTCTGAAAAACAAATTCAGAAAATAAAGGTTTTTGCTTAAACCACACAAAAACAGTTTAAGCAGCAAGCTGCAGATATTAGCCCAGTTCTTACTATATTATAACAGTGGGTCCAAAAGGTTTGCTTTTCATATTCCCTTTTTATTTAAGGTGAAATTAGACAGCAGGACTCCAATCTACCCAATGGCTGGCTATCACTGAAGGGCAAGTCAGTGGGAGGGGAAGAGAATCCCAGTCAAGATTTGAGAGAAGCAAAATATGGGTTACTTCCTCCTGTGCAAGAGGAATCACTTGATCCCACACCAATCCCATACAACTGGCCAAACGATTAGAAAATTAATCCTTCCCTCTCTCCCCAAACCAGGAGGAACTCTTCAAAAACAGGAGCCTGAAGTCTGTGATGAAAAAAAGGGGAAAACCAAAGCACAGGAGCAGAAAAGTTCAACTGGGAGAGAAAGCAGTTAAGTAGGATTAGAGCTGTCCCTCTCAGTGCTGATGAGCAATATATATTGTATTATATTATATATATCACTGCTGAGCAATATATACACTCTGCTGCACAGCAGCAACTTGGCCCTTTACATTCCACCTTTCTAGGCTGCTATCTGAATTCTTACATTAAGAAGCAAAACAAAAGCTTTCCAAGATGGAGAATGAAGACAGATGTGCACACTTCATCTGGGATCAGTTTAACTTTTTTTGAGCTTTCCTAAAGATTTTTAGCCCTGTAGAAGAACAAAATATCAATTTTCAGATGATTACTTCAGAGCGTAGCTTTGGCTGCTTCAAATATAGTTTTACAGGATCTACTTTATGAAGTCAGAGAGAAATCTTCAGTCAAAAGAACACAAATGAGTTAATCCTTTAAAACCATTCAAAAAGATAATTCAGATACTTTCTCTGCCAGAACTTCCTACATACAAAATTTACAGCAATATCTTGTGAATTCATCCACCAGCTAAAGAACGTGGCTGGAGGGAACACCCCAGGCTGGCCTTCTGAGCCAACTGTACGTGTCTCTGCAGCCAGTTTCTGTGAAGATTTCAGACCAAAAAATAAGTCGTACCTCTGCCAGATGTAAAAGCAAGCCATTGGAAGTATAACACCTGTCCTATTGGAGTGAAATACCGTTTACAAGTTTCTTCTGTGATTCGGTGATGCTCTGTTCCTTGGTCAGCAAGGAAAAAAAACAAAAACGCACCAACAAAAAAACCCCAAAAAACCAAACAAACAAAACAAACAAACAAACAAACCCCCTGCGGTGGCGTTTCCCTCTCCCGCTGAATTAAAGCCGGGAGCACAAATATTTTTCCGAATCGGTGAAGTTCCAGTCAAACACGAGTTGAAACCTAAGGGCTCCACACCTTAACATAGGCTGACACATTTCGGGGTTCGTCAGCTCCCGGTTAACGGAGCCGCTCTGGGCCCATAGAAGGGCAGCCCCCAGCCGAGATAGAGAAGCGGCAGATCATGAAAGGATCCTGGGGGAGGTCGCCCCACACTCACCTCCGTCGGCACCTATCCAGCGCTTCTACCAACAGTCGCAGCTTCCTCTACCACACCGGAAGTAATCCCACGCTTCCGACTCGCTCGCGGCCAATAGGAGAAGGCGACGTCGCGTCATGTGGCCGACGCCCCGCCCCCAGGAGCCGCATTAGCGCCCGGCGGTGGCCGCCAGCCACCGCGTTCCGGCCGCAGCCACCATCAGGCGCCCCGAACGGGCCAGGACAGTGGGGCAAGGAAAGTGAATGCCTGCGTGTGTTCCAAATTATCTCGCTTTATATATGAATAATAGTGGTAAGTCAACAACATCCCCAGCGTTGCAACAACAAGCATCCCGGCTACTGTGCTCACTTGCCTGTGGCTGTCCCACAGCAGCACCCTGCTGAAGCCAAAGCAGAGAAACACACAGGATAAATCTCAACTTTCTCATTTTATTTATGTACATCTGGCAGAGCAGATTTAATCCCGGGCCATTAGCTTTTGCTTCTTCAGCTTCTTCTGGGATATCTGAAAAACAAACACAGAAATGAGAAAATGGCAAAATGAGAAAACACTTTCTCAAAACATGTTACAAATAAATTTAGTTATCTTTTGAAGGTACTGAGAACTGTTAGAAATTTGTTTACATGTTTACAAAATTATTCACTGATCATATTTGTATGCACATAAGTGTCCCTACAAGTACTACATTGCTTACAGGCTTGCAATTTAAATTTTATTGCAGCACATCCCAGTTTCACACACATGGACTGAGGAAGGGAAGAACAAACTCCCTGTACTATATAAACCCCTGAAAATCATTTTCTGCAGTTATCTATGTGGTGTTCACAATAAATATTGAGGTTGCTCAGAAAGAACTTATTAGGTTTTTTCATAGGTATTCCAAAAGTGTTCTAAGATAGTCATCACAGCAACCCTTCTGCCTGAAAAATGCCAAGTATGAACACTCAGCTCTCCTGCTGCTGACATTAAAGAGGACTTAAGGGTATGATGCTCTACCTTTTTCTTTTGAGCAACTTCCTCCTCTGGCTTGGGAACGATCTGCTCCTTCTCAGTGAGGATCATCTCGATGTGGCAGGGGGAGCTCATGTAGGGGTTGATCCTACCATGTGCTCTGTAGGTGCGTCGGCGCATTTTGGGAGCCTTGTTGACCTGGATGTGCTCAATGACCAGAGAATCCACATCAAGACCCTAGCAGGGAGAGGAATAAAACTTGTGACTTGTTTTTTGTCTTCAAATAAATAGTCTCCACAGCAAAATTCTGAATAATCACGCCCCCTCCCCAGACACATACCACTGCTGGCAAATAAAACACCTGAATTTTACAGTGTCACAGAACTGAGCAAGCTCCAAAGTCAGAAAAACAGAGACCTCCCATCACAATTTATTTAAAATTATGCCAATGGCTCAGAAAGAGACAATTATTTCACAGTTACTCCAAAGGACACCTTTGGAGTAACTGTGAACAGTCACCACTGCCATCAAAATTACTAAATTAAGCACTAAGTATATTACAAAGATACAAACTGACCAAGAATTCACGTTTTGCTTTGTTTTGTAGTTTTTAGGAGACCTAAACACCACTTAAACAGTTGATAACCACATGCAAACTATCTCCCAGTGAAAAATTATTACTCCCATTTTAACTTGAAAAACACACACAGCCTAATTCAAACAAAGAGTATATCAACACCTTGATACAATTCAGTTTCATTGACAAAGCAGGCATTACCTGGCTTTCCATGTCAGAGACACCCAGTTCAGGAGTGCTGACACACAGCACAACATGAACACTTTGCATTCACTAATACTGACACAGCCTACCTTGAGCTCAGCATTGCTCTCTGCATTTTTGAGCATGTGCAGCAAGAACTCTGCACTCTTCTTGGGCCAGCGTCCCTGCGTCCAGCCCCACTGCTTGGCCTGGAAGAAGACAACAATTAATCCATTTTTGTCCCAGTACAATACAATTTACCCTTCAGGCACCATTAACTTGCCATTACATCCCCTTCTATAAAGATTGCATACCAAAACAATTAAATTTGATCAATTACTTGACACTGCAAGTAGATGCAATGCTGTACTGGAATTAAAAGCAACTCTTTTCTCCCTCTTGAGCAACCTGGTCTAGTGGAAGGTGCTCCTGCCCATGGCAGGGGGGCTGGAATTAGATGATCTTTAAGGTCCCTTCCAACCCAAAACATCCTATGATTCTATATTTTAATACAAAGTTATAATCAACAGTGACACACTATTCTCCATACCATCTCAAATTCATCTTTTCCTCTTAACCAGACACAGCATCCTTCTCACATTTTTATCTTGAGCCTCACCTGGGCGCATCTACCGACTCCCCCGTTGTAGCGCTGGAAGGGAACACATTGCTTCTTCAATGTGATGTCCTTTAAGTACTTGGTGGCCTTGCGGATGTGCATGCCCTTGATGGCCTGGGCAGTTTCTCGAGTGTTCTAGCAATATAGAGTACAGTGAAGTTGTTAACACATCTGTACAAGTTACAATGTGAGCAAAACCACTCCTCTGTCCTGGATCCTATTATTTTTGCTACAAACTCAATTTAAAGGAAGCACTCACACATATAAAAAAGCTCCACGCCTAAATTAAGAATGAAGAATAATTAAGAACACTTTTTTTTTTTGCTACCTACTTTTCTAACCCTTGGTGTGACTGCCATTACTGAATTTGCAGCTCTAACACATCTTGATTGTTTTTTACCTAATGCCTAGATCTTTCCAACCAACAAAAAAATTTGAGTAGTTATACTTTTCATAGCTCCTCCTTGGTCACTAATCCAAAGAAGCAGGAGTCTGAAGGATAAATTCCTACTAAAATGTCAGATATGGCACCTCAGAGGAAGTGATGAGAACACAAGATAGAAACAATCTAAATATCTCTGTAAGTGAATTATAAAGGGGAGAAAAGAAAGAAAAAAATAAAGGTAAAGTATTAGTGCTTAAGACATTAAATGCAGGTCAGAGAGTAACTATAATCCTACCTGATCATAGTAAAAAAGCAAATCAAGACAACTGAAATATCTTTTCACATGAATTATGTACCACTACGGAGCAGAAAAGCATCTGCTCAGGCTTGGTTTCATGGTTAACTCAAACGTGTCCTGGATTTACTGCCACACCTAAACTTTTTCCAGAGGGACCTATGCCCTCATGCCAAACATCGCATGCCTCCCCTGCCATACTTCTTGAGCAGCAGCATAAGCAGGTGAACCCAATGTTCCTTCCAAACAACCAGAAAGGCAGAGTAAGACAAATGAAACAAATGTCACATCTCACTCTAGCCCCATTCCTCCTGGTAAATTCACTGTAACTGTTTTCCTAGTGTATTTTATTATTTGTATTGGAGGGAAAACGCTTTAGGACATGTTATCTTATTTTTGATCCTGTGGATGAAAACCATTACAAGCAGCTAAAGCAAACATAGGCCATAACCTACACTACCACCCTTAAGTAACCATGTAATGACACAGAATAAGAGACACTTCCTCCAAAAAATGCCCAACAAAATATAACAAAACCAAACCAAAACCAAATGAAATTGCATTTCTTACTATGCACACACTGCCTACCTTGAAATGCACTCGCAGGTTGGATCCCCGTGATTTGCATGCTGCAGGAGAAAAAAAAGATGAACTTCTAGATTTAAAACCTCAATTACTTTGGTCAAGTTCTACTCGAATATTCACGAAAACAACTCACATTTCGTGGGATTGTCTGGATCCAGAGAGTAGCGCACCATTTTTGGATCTCAGCTGCAAAAAAAAGCAATTAACCCCCCCCCCCCCCATAATAAAGCTTCTAACACTGATAAGCAGAACCTGGTTTGTTTACCTTACTGCCGATAACTAACTACAGGAACTGCTCAGGAATTACACTGTCGTGTCACAATTTAATCCAAAGGTGTCCTAAAAAAGTCATCACCATTGCCATAGCCTCTCCCTAGGGCCTGCTTCCACTTCACACCAGACAGCTACCCCCAAGCTCGCTATCTCCAACCCCTACCCGTCCTCCCCCGCGCCAGCCCTGCAAATAACAAGGGGCAAATATATTGAGGCAGACCGAGACTTCAAGCCCTCGCCCCCTCATCGCCTCTCCAGGGCACCCTGAGCAGGATGGAGGCGGATTGAGACGGCTCACTGACGGCCGTAAGTCCTCACCTCCAGACAGCGCCAGGGAAGAGGAAATGTAGGAGGCGTCGGGAGCATCTAGAGCCGCCTGCTCTCGCGAGAATCCTGGCGAAATTTCGGCCAGGGAGCGCCGCGGAGGTGCCGCGCTGCGCCGCGCAGAGCGAAGAGAGTCGGAGAGACCGTTGGTAAAGGCGCGGCGACGGGAGGGGTGAGGGACCGGTCAGGACGGCATACGCCCATGTGCGAGCCCGAGGTGTGGAAGTAAAACATGCGTGCGCATCAGCCAGCGTCCTCGTGTCTGTGCGCGGTTCACACGGTCTGTTCACTCTCAGCTCAAGGTCACTGTTGTTTGCAGACTAGAAATCAGACTCAGGAGCAAGCCCAAGGGCTGCAGCTAGATGGCAGCTTAGGATGAAAATAGAGAAGAACATCGTTTAACAGATTTGCAGGAGACGAAACCGAAGAGATTCATGTTTATAAATCAAAACTGATATTTATTGCACCATTATAAAAAAATTTAAATTACTTGTTAAAGTAAAAAGTTTTGGGGTTTTTTTTTCCCATTTTAGGCAGCGTTTGCAATTAGAACTGCCTGGGAAATCTGACAAAGCAGTGGTTCAATAAAACCACAACGTTTCCTGAAAGTGGAACCCAGCTCCAGCAAAAGGCTCATAAAGAAAAAATTGACAGAGTGGGAAGAAAAAGGGAAATTACTTCCCAAGCAGCCAGTAGTCCAGGCACCTCCCTGGCACGAGAGTCTGGGTTTAACTCTGTGTTTAGAAATATGCCTTACTGTCTGTATAAATGCTTTGAGCAGGAGGCTATTTTTGAATCTCTTGTTTAGGGCCAAAATCTCCCATAGCTCTGAAGCTAGAATTTCACCCAAATGGAAAAAAGAAAATATATGAACTATGGCAAATATTTACATGGCTGGAAACTGTAGAGCTCTAATTGTGGCTGCAGCTCTCTTATTTATCTGCCTTAAAATGTGCCTTTGCTTTCAAGGGAAAGCTTTCTACAAATTATATGTACTGCCAGTGGAGGAAACGGGCCTTTTCATGGGAAGCACCTTCACATGCAGCTTCTTGTTAGCAGCAGATCACAGAAACAACAAAACATTCAGAGAAAGCTGGAATAGAGGTGTGAAACATAAGTAGTTGACAGATGGTGGGAATTATTACCTGGTCATTGTGTTCATCAAATAAGTCCAAAGCAAATGGCACATTTTTGGTTACTTAATTCTGCTTCCCCAACACATGGAACTGTTTACACTCAGCTGCTGAGGGCTTGCAGTGGTGGAAGCATAAAGGTGGGAGCTTCTGCTGATGGTATCAGGAAATAAGATGCATGTTTTCAGCTTTGTTGGGAGGTTAACAACTGCTCTCAGAGGCAGCCTAGCACATATCTGGTGCTGAGATGAGGATTGAGGCAGCTGAGCATTCGCCCTTCTTGAGATTTACCCAGATTATTCCCCTAGTGCACCAGTTGCCTTGGATATTTAGCTTGTATGAGCCGACTAGAAAAGAACTTTTGTATCCTAAGCAGAAAATATAGGCATGTAAGTCCAAAATCATGTTCCTGAAAACTGTGTAGGAGGCAGCCACCTCCTAATTCCACTGGAATTTCAATTCCACAGGCTGTGCTGTGCATGCCCAGGAAGACCTCAGTCTTTTAGCAGGCATTGAATGCAAAGATCCAACGCTGTTCAGACCTGAACTGTTCCTCTACTTTGTGTTCTTGAAGCTTCTGCCTGTAGCACCCTTCTGTGAAGGGCTCATCACAAGGGTGGTGCCGTCTTGAGTTTTGCCTTTTTTTTTCTTTCTATATTCTCTGTATTCTTTACACATATATTTCTCTCTCTGTAGCCTATTATTGTAACTTAGTTTCAGTATTTTCCTAGGCAGAAAGACAAAACTAATTCCAGGATCCCTATGCTATTTGATTTCTCATTAGAAACCAAGGTTGAGAGCAGCTCTTCAGACATATTTTTTAATAAACAGAGTTTAGTCCTCATCTGAGGGGGGAGGATTTAGAAGGTGCTAGAGCTGGGGGGCATGACTTCACCGAGTGTGCTTCTAATTGGAGATTCTTTTCAGATGCTAATTTGCAAAATCTATAAAAATTGTACATGTATCATGCGGGGTATGCATCTTCAGCATTTTCCACCTGACAAATTGTGCACCTAAGGATCCTTATATAAAGCTAACCCCTTTTTATCACCCTGTGTCTGGCTCATATTTCTAGAACCAGAGAAAAAGGCATCAAGGGCAGTAAAGGTTTCTACCATCTCCTCATGGTAAAAAGGGACAGTGCTGATCTTAACCCAACAGCATGGTAGCCACAGCACACTACCAAGACACAGGAGACCCATTTTCAATTTTCTTCCCTTGAGAGGTTTCAAAGCTTCTCCTTAACCACAAGGCTGGAAACTATTCTATGGCAAAGATGTTCCCACCCTGCCTGCTGCAGGTTTTCTACAAAGCAGCCCGCAATGTGTCTGCTTCAAATCTCTTCTCTGGATGTGCTCCTGGGGCTAGAAGGGGGCTGCATCCCTTAACCTGCCCTGGAAGAGCCCAGCAGGCAGCAGGGAATATACAGATACAGGATTGTTGTCTCATATTAAGTCTTTTTGTGGCTTTAGTTGTAAATAAACAAGTGGCCTTATCAGTCCTATTGGAATTGCCGAGCCCAATGTCATCCTAAGTGACAATCAACCACCATCCCTCCTGTCCAGAGTGAGAAGTGAGCTCCTAGACTGACCAGGGTTATGTTTTCATGGCAGGTCTGGAACCAAAAAGAAAACTCAGTTCCAGCCTGTTTTGGTTTGAAAGACAGCTGTCTGCTAAGGTAGGCCGGAACCTCCCTTGGAATAGAAAATATAACCCCCTTGCCTCCAAATTATTATAGCTTTTAAATTACGGGCTTTCAGTCAAATATATGGGAAAAGGAATAACAGTTCTTGAGTAGAATGTGTATGTATAACAAGGCAAACAAACAACAGCAACAACAAACAGAAAAAAACAGAAACCAAATAACAGCCTTCTGTTGGCTGTCAAGCACTTTCCCCTTTGGTGTAGTTATGGCCACAGCTGGCAGGGATGCTGTTGGCTCACAGCCAGGCAGGGAAGGTATGAGAGACTGAGGCACAGATTCAGACTGGCAGGGAATCTGAATCATTTATTCAAAGAAACAAGCTGGTTTTATACACTTTTTCAGTGCACAGTATTTCCTTACATGGTAATTCTCACTATGTGACCTATCCCATTTTACCACATCAGCAACACATGTTCTAATTGTCCTTCTATGGGGTGATCATGTGCTGTTCACCTGTCAGTCACCTTCCAGCAGGCTTCTCTCTGTAGGGGTCTGCCGCGTGACACCTCCTTCCCCCTCAATGTCAGACGGAGACAAGCCTCTCTGTGTCGCCATGTGCTTCTGCAGATGCATCCCACAGCCTTCAGCTCAATTCCATCCCACCTCTTCCTACAACTCCCTCTTTTATGTTTTATACAAACAGGAATCATAAAACTAAACAATTCTAACATTAGAATATGTTTGGCCCACTGTCTAAACCAAACAAGCTCCATTCCTCACAAAAGCAGTATCTTTCCTATGAATAAGGGGATAAATGAAAACACCCAATAACTGGTAACCACACAGATCTCCTTCCCATGAATGGAGACAGCGATTAAACAGATAGAACCTTGAGAAACAACTTAAAATTGTCTAAAAACTTTACCATCACCCAGACTCTGCAATTGCTGGAGAGTCCCATTTCACAGCGAAGACTCAGAGAGCCTTTCCCAGGGAGAACTTCCAAGTTTACCTTGAAAGGGGGTCTGTGGGAACTCAGCACATCACTTCGGATGTCCAGAGTTACCGAGAGAACTGTTGGGGGGCTCAGAAATCCTGGAATGTTGCCAGGAGTGTCTGGTGGCTTGACTTCGATCCCTCTAGGGATGTGCCACCTGTTTGAGGACATGAGAGTCACTTGGGAGTGAATGGTGCAGGAATGATGTATTTACAGGGTGAAATATAGATTTTAGGGTTTTGGTACAGGGGGGTTATGGAGACAAGATGGAGGGATCAGGGCGTGTCTTGTCCTTCTTCTTTCTTCTTCTTGTCATCCATTTTCTGTGGTGATGTTGGCACTTGGGGATTGGTCCATGGTGAAGGTGCACTTGCTAATATGGGTGAAAGATATTGGGAAATAAAGGTAAATATGATGTACGTAGTTTTTAGTATAAAAAGACACAACCGCCCCGTGGGTGGTCAGAGTGCCCTTGGCTGCCTTGCAGGTCAGACCTCTGCTGGGCAGAAAGAAAATTCTGTAGATAAGAAATAATAAACAATCTGAAGACCCAAAAACTGAAGAGTCCAGACTCATCCTTTGAAGCGCGGGCTGCCCCAGAACCATCCTACGCATGTCTGGGCAGAGACAGACAGCCGACCGGACAGGGGTCCAGCTTTTATAAGATCAGATTAGCAAGTCAAAGTGACTTGATTACACTTTTAGGGCAGAAACACCTGGGTCTGATGGTATAATCCCCAGTCAGCCAGGGCTAGGGCTTGGCCAGAGCCTCAAGCCTTCACTGAGACGGTTTCCCTAAAATACCTACAAAATTGCCTAAAAACTTTA